TCTCTCTGACTCACTTTCTCTGTCTCTCTCTCTCTCGCAGCTCATTCACTGGCCCTTAGAACAGGACTTCGTGCTTCACCCCCTTGAGTTTCATTTTTTTAGACCCGATCTAGAGTTCCCAGAGATCAAGACTCATCCAGTGGATTACCTAATCATCCCAGGCTTCCTGTCCTCCATAGAGAATGCCATTTGTGTCTTCATCAGAGTCACCGATAAAAACGTTGAACCAGTAGCACCAAAGATAGATCCCTGAGGCACTCCATTAGAGACCTCCCGAAGCTGACAGTGAATCCATAAGCACTTATTAAATGCCTTTATTAAACTTAAATTAAAGGTACTCAGCGAGGTGCTACGGTTACAAGTGCAAGGGATGAAACGATCTCTACGCCCCACCCCACACACATATCTAATGGAGCACACAAATACATTTAACAACAGACACAGCATAAAGATAAAGTTTATAGATACAAATGCATACAAAGTTTCTAGCTCATCACTAATCACCACTTTCTGGTCACAGTTATTTCAACCAGCTCCATGTCTACCCACCCAGCTGTACCAGCGCCCCACCCTCATGTCTCCATCTTGTCCCTAAAAGTGGAATGAGCCTCAATGTTAGAGGCCTTCTGCCCTACAGGCACACCGTTTCTGAAATGGGCCCGGACTACTAGACTAGTGACCCTGTCCAGAAAGGGGTGCCATGATTTATTAGGTTCAGAGATTTAAAGCTGGAAGAGTCTGTGGAGATGAGCCCAGTCACTACCCCCCTTATTTTACAGATGAGGAGACTGAGGCCCCAAAAGGGGAAGCTACCGCCAAAGCAAGACCGTTGCAAATAGCATGGGCAGGATTCACATCCAGATCATTTGACTCCAGATTCTCCCCTCTGCCCATTTAACTGCCTGCACCCACGCTGGCGCAGTGACCAGTTTCCCTGTCACTCTGCTGGGACCCTACAATGACCCCTGTGGGTCCTCTAAGGCATGGGCGTGTTTACCGCTGTCCTGGTGTGGGATGGATGGATTCTGTGATGCAGAAGCCTTGCTCTCACCCCAGAATGGAGGCTCCCTGAGGGCAGGGACCCTGCCCGGAGCCTCACGGGTGCTCAGTAAATGCTGCTGGCCTTTTGACTGAACCACTCTCTCTTTGGGTATTTGGCATCTCTTCAAAGACAGTCCTTTTACAGGGGAGGCTGATTCGTTCCAGACAGTTGAAATGACCTGGGCACAGATGGCCTCCTGTTCTCCCCTAACAGCCCTTGGACCACTCTGGCTGCACATTCCTAGAGGCCAGCCACCCACGCAGGGTCCCGATTTCAAGTGGGAGGACACTGAGGGGTCTCAGCACTCCTGTGAATACTCCCTAATAACCTGTGATCTAATTAAGAGTTAGTATTTGGAGCCAAGAGAAAGTTACTAACCTAGCCCCCTACCCCTGACTCCCGCCCCACCCCACCCCCACACACAAATGTACCGGATCAAAGGAAGGAGGTCAAGGACGCCAGGTCCATCCTGAGGAGGATGGCGGGAAAGAATGACCAAACTTTAATCAGGGCGGGGGCCATGGCAGCCATCTGTAGATATTGCACGGTCCTATGGAAGAGGGTTAGGCCCCAGAGGGCCAAGTTGGGACTAGCAGGGAAAGGTGCCAGGAGGCCAGTTTAGGTTTGAAGTCAAGAAAACCTTCCTGACCTTTAGGGGATGCAGGAGTCAGGGGCCCCCCTGCTATGACCTGACTAGGAGGAGGCAGAGCTGCTTTTAGAATGGAGGAGGGGCAGGGTTAGACCAGGGTATTGGGAGACCGAGGCGATAAGGGGTCAGGGAGGACTCCAAAGAAACGTCTCAGCTGCAGAGAAGATGGGTCGACCACGTGGCATGAATGTGGGATGTGCCCCATCAGTGTCATTATGTGATCAGGAGAACACGAGAAAGGCTCCCAGCTCAGCGGATAGACCCTCAGTGGTGAAATTATGGGAGGACATGGACAAAAGCCACACAGGATGGGCTGACGTCTGCATTGTGGGAGGGAACACCCGCTCCGGGAGGTCACCCATTTATCTGAATGTGAGGGTGTTTGTTTCAAGGAACAAGATGAAAGAAAGAAGAGTTGGAAATGACCTATTAGAGGATTTTCATTTCTCTGCTGAGAAGTTGTCGGAAATCCATCTAGCAGGGGGGAGTTTTTTCTTTAAGTGTGTGCTCACGTTAATTTACCCATAACCAGTGCTTTTGCTTCAGGTTAGTTCTTCCCTAAGATGAAAAGCACAGGAACTGTTGTCGTGGCTGCAGACCTTTGTGGGAGACACTGCAATCACTCCCAGAAAACTTTCCAGATGGGAGAGCCCAGTGGGTGCATGTGTCTGTGTGTGTGTTGATGGTGGGAACTCACCTCCCCCTGCCCACAGGCTGGATTGTCACAGCTAGGACAGTGGCTGCCACATGTACATCAGATGGCCATCCACATCTGATCCAGGTTGAGTTTTGAGGGTGCCGAGGGCCCATAGCAGGCCACCTGCAAGCCACCAAAGCGCCAAACCTCAGTTTCCTCCTCTGTAAAATGGGGGTATTCATAGCACCTACCTGCCAGGGTTGTAACAGTCACGTTACATGACACATATAAAATGTTTGTCAAACCTTAAAGCGCTATAGAAATACTAATGCTTAGTATCACTAGTACTGAGAGAGGGGGACTGCTTTGTTTCTGTGTGTTCCTGGCACTAGGCAGCCACTTAATAAATGCTCCTTTAAATGAATGGAGCAGTGTCCATGAAGGGGGCCCCCAGACTGAGGGAATCAGGCTCTTCAGAACATTGACAGAACCTCAGATCTCCGTCCAGAAGGGTGCGTCAGGTTCTCATGTTTCTCTCAGCTCTATTTAACACGGAATTGGTTTGGATTTTTTTTAATGTCCTCATTCTCTTGGTATTCAGGTTAATAAATTAGTCCAATTAGATGAGTAAATTAGCGATTCCAGATTTCCAGGTCTTGCTTGTGAGGCTTTGAGAAATGCCATCTGAAAGGGCAGTGCCCCGTGGCATTTGTTTTAGAGTTGGACGTGCCAAAATGTGCCCTACTTAGGGAGAATTTCCAAAGCATTGCAGATTGTTCAGGGAATTGGTTTGTATATAGCGTGAGTGATCCCCAGCCTGGCCCAACCCTAAAGCATCCTAGAAATGCTGATTAGCAGCAGCCACAGCAGCGTTATTATGGAAGTGTTAGGTTCAATCTGCTTGACCCACGCAAAAAGGAAAATGCGGTCATGTGCATTTACTAAGCTCCTACTGTGTACCAGGCACTGCTAATGTTGGGGGCAAATTCTGTCATACTGAGTGAGATGGAGCTGCCTTGGCCCTTCTAGAACAGGGTGGGAGAAGCGCAGAGAGCTGAGACCCATCCCATCAGTTCACCAGTGAGGAAATGGAGGCCGAGGGGGAGGAATGAGAAGGCCGGCCTCAGCTCCTTTAATGAGGGTCACCTGGCAGGTCTGGAGGAGGGAAAGGGGATGCTCTTGGGGCAGCGCTGACTCCTCCAAAGAGTTATAACGCTGATCACGGTGACATTAAGTACTGGTGCAGGTGCCTGGCATAGAAGGCCTGGGGAAGCCCAGAGCAGCCCCCGTGCCGTCTGTCCCCAGTGCTGCTCACACCTGGGGATGCATTTCACAAGGCCAGTCGCCGCCACCATATAATTCTTACTAATGTTGTGTTCTAATTCCTATTTATTCCACAGGGCTTGTAAATGCATTAGAGCTTGTCAACGTATTATTTTACGCTGTTTATGATCTGGAGAATTATGGTCGTCAAGGTCGCCTTGTGCGAAGGCCAGCCCTGACCCAGCCACTTGGAGCCAATTAAAAACGAAAAAAATCCACAAAGCCCTTCAGGCAGTGGAGCTGGGGCTTTCCCTCCCCCACCCCCAGCCAAATGACAAATGGGGAGGTCGAGTTTCTGAGAGATACCCAGTGGAGCAGGTCAAGGCACTTGCCCGGTGGCGAGGAGGCTAAAACTGGAGCTGTCTTTGGGTGGGCCCATCACTGAGGGAGAGCCGATGAAAAAGGCCTGGGTAGCAAGGAGCTGTTTTGGTGGGGGAGGGGAGAGGATGCTGCTTCCCCTCTCTTGCCTCGGGTCTTTCTCTATAAAATGAAGGGGTTGCACTTGATTACCTCTGAGGCCCCTCCAGCCCCAGCATTCTGGAGAAGCAGTGTCTCCAGTTCCCTGTGAGTAAATGCGACTGGAAATGTTCGCCCAGGGTAGCAAATAAGACCGGCCCTAGGCAAACATTTTCTGTAGTGCCTGTGGCCTCTGTCTCCCCACTTAGGTGGCTCCTGCTTCCCGGTCCCCTCCCTCACCTGCCAGGGTCTTCTTGCTCTTCTCCCTGTCTCTCATGAAAACCTGCTGTCACACAGGGATGTGAAACACATTCATACTAAAGTGTAAATGACTGATAGTGTAAGCGAGGTTTCAGCACTTAGACTTGGTCCAGAGATCTTTAACATTTTTGGTGCCACAGACCCCTCTGACAGTCTGGTCAAGTCTCAGAACAATGCTTTTAAATGCATAAAATGAAATATATCAGGTTACAAAGGAAACTAATTAGAAAGAAATATTATTTTTAAAAACCAGTTCAAAGACAAGGAAACAAAATTCAAACTGGGATTTTTGACACCAACTGGTGAGGGGCGGGGTGGGGCTGGGGGCCGAGTAAGGTCGTGCTTTTTAGCTGTCTCCACCTTTCCTGAAGTCTAGGCAGCCGGCTGATAAACAGGATGATGATGATGGCTCCCGTGGGAGCTTAGTGTTGGAGGGGGCTTTACAGGTGATCTGCCCAGTGAGGGAAAACAAGGCCAAGGGGACCAGAATTTCTGACTCTAGATCCAGAACTGTCCCCATTGTCCTGCACTGGTTTACAGAGTAGGAGGGGCCCCGAGGCTCACTGGGCCAGGCCTGGCCTGCGGGGAGGGGGCCTCACTCTCTTCATGCCCTTCTCTCTCACATGTCTCAGGCAGCGAATACGACGAGGAGGAGGCGGATTATGAGGAATCCGACAGCGACGAGTCATGGACCACGGAGAGCGCCATCAGCTCCGAGGCCATCCTCAGCTCCATGTGCATGAACGGAGGGGACGAGAAGCCTTTTGCCTGCCCCGTCCCTGGATGCAAAAAAAGATACAAGGTAAACCCCCAAACCCGCCCTGCCTGTGCCTTCCGCCCCGCCCCAGGCGTCCTCTCTGGTCCTCGGCCTTCCTTCCTTCACAGATGAGGAAGTTAAGGTAGAGACTGAATGACTTGCCCAGGGTCACACAATCAATGTGTGGCTGTCCTGGCCAGGTGCTGTGTCATCCGGGCAGGGCAGCAGAACACTGGGTCTAGAATCCAGCTTCAGATATTTCCTAGCTGTGTGTCCCTGGACTTCACCTCCACCTGCCTCAGTTTCCCCGAGTGTAAAGTGATAGTACCTGCTCCTCAAAGGAGATCATATTTAAGTGTTTTGTGCACAGAGTACATCCTTAAACACTCACCTTAAACACTCCCTTATTTCCTTCCTTCCTGCCATCTTAAGTCCATCAACTCTCCTTCAAGAGGAGGTCCGTCATGGACCCCCCATCCTTGGGTGGATCACGGTGGGTCACCGCACCAGTCAGAGCCGTAAGCCCCTCAGAGTTGCTCATCTTTTCAGCATGGCTGTTATTGTACACATTTTTCAGGGTTCTTCCACTCTTCCAGCGGAAGGACGATGAGTTCTGTGCCCCAACTGGGAAATCAATCCAGCCTGGGCTTTGCTTAAGCGATGGAAACTTTACTGTATTCTTTATTTTATTTTATTTTATTTTAGGCAATTGGGGTTAAGTGACTTGCCCAGGGTCACACAGCTAGTAAGTGTCAAGTGTTTGGTCTGAGGCCGGATTTGAACTCAGGTCCTCCTGACTTCAGGGCAGGTGCTCTATCCACTGCGCCACCTAGCTGCCCCTTGTATTCTTAATCTCTCCAAATTCACGTCTTCCCTGGGAATTGGGACGGGGAAGGTGGGAGTCCATCCGAAGAAGAATAATCACGTCACCGGCTCTCCGCAGTTGAGGGTCCGTGGGTGGTTTTTAGACTCCTTTGAATTATGAAGAATCCACAGACATCGTCAAGAGTACAGGTTTTTACGTCTAGCTGGGAATGTTCTCACTCCCCCACACTCCCTTGGGTCTCCCCTTGGCTCTTCTCTTCCCATGATTTCACGATCCGTCCCCGCCACTGGTGGAGGCCCAGCCCGCCATCACCACCATATTTTATCTCTGTGAGTGGCTGGGGGCCCAGAGCTCTCTGCTCACCAGAAGTGTCTCCAAAAACAAACTTGCAAAATTTTCCATGATATTTTAGCAGCTCTTTACAACCCAGCTGTGGAAGTGCTTAATGGAAATACTAAACCCAGAAATGTACCTGGCATGTGGGCGGGTTTGCTAATCCAGGTCGTGGAGACCCAGGCCTGAGAGAGGCACCCAGACTGACCCTCCTTGGTGGCTCCTGCTCTTCCGAAGGCCAGGAAAGCCACCCCAGGACTTGTAGCGCCGCTCAAGACAGAGCCCAACTCTATCGGTGAAGTCAGAGCAAAGGGGAGCGATGGGTACGTTTTCTTTGCTGCCCTGTTCTGGCCAGCAGAGCTGAGATGAAACCTTCGACCTAGGAGTCAGGTCGTAGACGTGGAAGGGCCCTCAGAAGCCAGCAAATCCAGTCCCTTCATTTTACAGAGAAGGACACTGAGGCCGGGCATGGGAAGCCCCAGGCCCAGGTAGGAAATGCCAGCGCCAGGGTTCGATCCCGCATTGTCAAAGCCCGCCTCCACCAGGCCCTGCTGCAGGAAGAATTCTTCCTGGACATCTGGAAGGACCGCTGAGCCAACGGGAGAGCTTCCTGGAGGCCATGGTCATTGAAGAGGGAAGGAGGACACTCCTGAGGGTTTCAGGTTCCTCCTCTCTCCTCTCCCCTCCAGGGCAACTTGGCATTTCAAAAAGACTTTTTTTTAAAGTGAAAAAGGCCTGTTTATAGGAGAAACCTGTAATTTGGTGCATTCTGTCTGTCCTGTTTCATAGTCTCATTATTGCCCAGGAAGCAAGCTGGTCCTCCCTGCCCCTCCCAGGCTGGGCCTTGGCCCAATGAGCATCATTTGTCATCAGGGCCAATATAGTCAGACCAGGGAGCAAATGGGTAATGCAGGGTCGGGGGGGGGGGGGGGGAGACACTCCCAGCAAGCCCAGGAGGTAGGAAACTGAGGCAGACAATGGTTAAGTGACGTGTCCAGGGTCACAGGGCTGTCTGAGCTCCGATTTGAACTTAGGTCTTGCTAAGTCCAGGCTCCAGCTTCCTCTGCCAGAGAGAGGAGTCTGTGTATTTTATCCTAGCGACGATAGAAAGTCACGGCACCTTCTTGAGCAGGAGTGAGATCAGCCCTGGCTCAGGAATATCACTTGGGCAGCCACCTGGAGCAGGGGATGGCAGCAGGGAAGAGCAAGCCGGTCACTGGGGAGTTCCAGGGGAGAGGCGGAAGGCCTTGGAGGTTTGCCTTTGAGGTTCAGGATCAGACACATAGGGGAGGGGGCTTGGCTACATTTATTTCTAAAATAAATTCAAAAGGAATGAGGGAAAAGGGGAGTGGGAAAAAGCAGAGGGCGTCCAGACTAGCCGCCTTCACGTGCCTGGTCTCACTGGCTCCTCTCCTCCTCCCGTGGGCTGAGGGTTCAAGTGTCGTCCCCCTTTTATAGGACGCTCCCCAGCTCCCGGAGTCTGGGTCGAATAGTTTTAGCCGCAGTCCATGACACTGTCCACTAAGATGTGGGGGAAGGGGCTGTTCTCTGGCTTGGAGAAGACCTCTGAAGTCTCAGGATTTTGTGGTATGGCATTGAGGACAAGTAGATCAGACTGGCCGTCCAGAAATTTGGGCTTTCAGCTCCAGCAGCCCCAGCAATAACTGCTGACCAGCCGCGGTCAGTACGGGCGCAGGCGCTGGGGAGGGACAGCCCGTCTCAGATGCCCAGCCCTGCTCCCCACCCAGCCCTCCTCGGGCATCATTCAGAGAGGCGGCTCCGAGGGAGAAGGGGCCGCTCATCCCCACCAGCCGCACTCTGTTGTCCTGCACTGGACAGGGAAGACAGGCTGGCTGAAGCAGCCAGGTAGACTGAGGGAGAGAGACAGGAGGCAGCATGGGCCGGCCAGGCCGGGCCACTTCCACCACCTCAGCCAGGAGCCGGCCCAGGAGCCTGGACCGAGACCTAGAACTTTGGCATTGTGGCGCTCCAACCCAGCGCCTGCAGCCCTCATGGGGGGAAGGCACCGCCTTGGAGATGTAGCTCGGCTGCCCCTGCAGGGCATCAGCCACAACTCCTGTTGTGGTCACCCGAGCCTTTGGCCCTGTCTGGTGGCTCAGTATCAGAAACTCATAGGATTTTATCGGAGAAAGGCATTAACACTGGCTTGGCCACTGCCCCTAAGGACCTCGGGATCCCTGCATCTGACCGCCACTGAAACCTTCCCCATTAGGATGCCAGCCTCTCCCGGCGCTGTGCATGCAGTCAGTGCATAATCGGTGCTCTTCACGCAGCTGGACTCACCACAATACATGTCCTGGAGCACTCACCGGGGCTCTGAGATCGCTGATCAAGGAGGAGGAACATTGTCCTTCAGGGGGATCAGCCTCACCACCCTTCGGATACTGCCACAGACGCCTGAGGCCACCAGGGATTATTGCACCCCCACACTCAGGGCCACGGAGGGGACCTTATAACTGAAGATTTAGTGGGGAGGTTTGCACATGGAGATCACGTGGTACTGGGAGATTTACACATGGATTTACCCTACACAGCGCAGGGTCCTTGATTTATAGAGGAAAAAGGGAAGGGCAGTGACTTGCCCAAAGTCACAATTCAGCAGTGGAGGTCAGATTTGAATCCAAGTCTCCTGGGAATATGCAGCAGCCCGCCGATGCCCACCACGCCCTCTCCTTTACTCTTTGGACCACCTGAGGGTTTTTTTGTTTTGTTTTGTTTTGTTTTGCTAGGCAGTGGGGTTGAGTGACTTGCCCAGGGTCACACTGCTAGTAAGTGTCAAGCGTCTGAGGCCGGATTTGAACTCAGGTCCTCCTGACTGCAGGGCTGATGCTCTATCACCTGAGGTTTTAATGGCACAGGTTGGCAGCCAGGGACTGTGCACCTTGTACCACAAGGGTGGGCCTTGGGACCGAGGAGCCGTGGTATCATGAGACCGTCTGGACGACATCCCCAGATGCCATCCAGAACAGGCTCTTTCTCCCGGCTATGCCTCTGATGGACTGGCTCAGCGGGCTGCCCAGAGAATCGCATGTGCACAGGACGGGGTCGGACAGGCCCGCGGACACCGTGGCACCCAGCGCACAGTGGGACAGGTACGTCCACTACAACAGCCATCAGACGTTTGTCTAGGCTCCATGGGAAAGATGTGCTCCCTCCCTAGGCCTGCAGATAACTCTTCAGCGTGTCCATCAGCCAGCGTGCCAGGCACTCGGTGTTCAGAGTCCCTGCCCTCCAGGAGTCTCTGTTCTGTTTGGAGATCCCACCCATGTCAATCAGCACATGCAGGACACACGCATGGAGAGACCTGGGACATAAGGAAGGCCAGAGATTCAGGACAGAGACCAGGAAGGAGTGTCCCAGGCCAGGAAGACCACGGGGAGACTGGTGAGGCACAGTCATCCCGGGCAGGAGCATTAAAACTAGAAATACAGGGAGGGGTCGGGTTGGTTTAAATGCCAAAGAATCTGCCTGTCGGCCACTTGGCCTCCCCTCGTGCTGTCCTCTGGGTCCAAGGGGAATGCTCATCTCTCTTCCAGCAGCCCTTCAGATGCATGGAGAGACTGATGACGTCCCCCCAAATCCTCCTTTTCAACCTGAACAACCCCCTCTTCTTCAGGTGATCCTCAGACGACATGAGACGCTTCACTGGACCGGTTGCCCCCCTCTGTCCACTCACCAGCTTATCAGTGTCCTTCCTAAGATTCATTGTCCAGAAGTGGACACAAGACACCAGATGGGACCTGACCAGGGCAATAAGACAAAGGAACTGTCCATTCTCTAGTCCCAGGCCAGATGCTTCTCTTTGCAGCCAAAGTTGTTGGTTATAGACACAGTATTAACCCACATCCAGTTAGCAACCCACTAAGACCCTAAGATCTTTTTATCAGAAAGGATGCCACTGAGTTATGCCTCACCTGTGAGACTGATGTTTCTAACCAATGTTAAACCTCTATATTTATCTAACTACATGTCACGGGACAATAAACATTTTCTATTCGTTTAATGAGAGCAACTAGGCAGTGTCATAATCCCAGAGTCAGAAAAAATCATTTTCCTGAGTTCAGATCCAATTACAGACACCTAGCAGTAGTGTGACTCTGGGCAAGTCACTTTTTGCCTGTTTGCCTCAGTTTCCTCATCTGTCCAATGAGCTGGAGAAGGAAATGACAAACCGCTCCAGTATCTTTGCCAAGATAACCCCGAAAGGGGTCACAAAGATTCAAACGTGACTGAAATAACCTAAAAATAAAATTCATTTAATGTTTCCTGTATGGATTAAAAGGCCATGTATTATCATTGATCTCATTGAGGAGACCCCATAATGAGATGGGACATAATGAAATCAACACAGTATCATCTGTATACAGGAACACCCAGAAAAGAATCCCTCCCATTGGGACCTTTCACGGGACACCCCCATGAAATGTACACCTCCACTGGCCCACGTAATTAGAAGATCATTGAACACATACCTCTGTCCAAGCTTGGCAGCTCCCTTGTCATATTTTCATTGAGAAGATGCAACTTTTAGTATTTAGCTACTCATACTCAGTGGATATATTGAGCATTTCCATAAAGATTTTTGTAGATTTGGAAGTAGGCATATTTGTCATTATACAGCATCTCCTTTTGGGTGTATTAATATCATCCCTTTCAGGGGAAGTATCTTCTCCCTGAAATACTGTGTAAAGCTATTCCTCAGTGTTTTCAAAGTGGTGATAATGGGGCCCCCAAAATTGTTATATACAACGCAGTTGGAGTTTACTTTAATGACAATTTGGCTTGCAAAGAGAAAGCAGGGAAGCAAAACAAATTACTTGATTGGGGGGGGGGGGGGAGTGAGGAGAGAAGAAAAGGTCTGCAGTGAGATCAAAACCAGATTTTGGGAATCAGAGGATCCCAGGCCCCGTGTGACTTTATGCAAGTCATTTCCCTTCTCCTGGACTCAGTTTCCTCATCTACAAAATAGGGTTGGGGGATAGAGGAGCAGACTATAGATGGATCCCTAAGGTTCCTACGAGCTTTAAAACTCTTCTGTTCCTATAAATCAACCTTAGAACGAGGGAGCGTGTTTCAAAGTATATAATCGTCCGGCTAACTTCCAGTAAAGCTGATATACGGGTTTGGCTGCGTTTTCCTTCCAAACTCAGCAAGCTTACGCCAGACACGCAACGACTGTTTACATTAACCATGCGCAATTAGGGTTAGGGCGTCAAGAGCCCACCATCACCCCAACAACAGGCTCCACTGAGGGCTCTGGGGCAGAAGGGGCTTGGTTTTCACATGGATTTCACTGGATTCTTGGGGCTTAAGAAGTTTCTGGTTCCAACTCTTCCCTAACCTAATTAGGAGTAAAAGCACCAATTGAGATGGAATTTCTGTAGCGTGGACCCCGTGGAATGTGCCATTGGTTTGTCTTTATTTTTAGTCCTCTGTATTTTTCATCAAGGTGTGAGTGGTGCGGGCCCCTGAGGTGTGACTGGACTCTTTAATGACCCATCTCAAAGCCAGGAGAACTGTTTGAAAACAAAGAAAGGGAATGTTTTCTAACTCTCCTCCCCTGAAAGGGGCCCTGTGAAGGCACTTGATAAGTATCTGCTGGATGGATGAATGAGTGAATAAATAAATAGAAGCTGGATGGACCAAAGGCTGGAGTCATTTGAGCCTATGAAGTCTTGCAATCTGCCTCTGGTCACCAGACAATTTTATCACCAAATCTCCAAATTGGGAGGACATCTCCTCCAGCCTGGGCCTGAACCCAGATCCCCTCTCCATCACAGCTGACAAGTGGTCACTGAGCTTCTTGTGGAAAACTGCAAGCAAGAGGGGAAACCCTTCTGTAACAGAATGGAAGCCCATTCTGCCATCCGCACTCATCTCCAGTCTCTGCCTACTTAAAGGATCCTTCTCTGCTGCCTACAAACATACCCCTATTTCTCCGTTTCTTTGCCAAAAAAAACCCTCAATGCTAGTCTCGTCCCGTCTTTCCTCCTCTTTTTGGCTAAAAAGCCGTCTATACTCAGTACATCCATTTCCTCTCTCTCCCTTTTAAACACTCTCCCCTTTGTAAACTCTAAAGCCCTATTGGCAACAGCGTTAGCACCCAGAAGATGAAGGGAATAATCCCCACCACATGGGGATTTCTGAGGATGGCCCCGACAGCTCTGGGTAGAACAGGGCAGGGATTCTCCCTTTCTCCGTCCAGTATGAGTTGGGGAATCTACATTCAGCTGGCAGAAGAAGGAATTGCTTCAGTTTCATTTTTTTTTAAAGTTTAGATGCGTTTCTAATTTCAAATCTTTAATTAGTATGTGAGTGAATAGGTATTATTTTACCTTGGGGATATGGTTGGTTACAAATTTCTATTAAGATTTTTTTTTTGCTGGAATAAGCGTTAACTGTATTTCAGTTGACACTGGTTAATAAGTGGGGAAAAGAGCTTGGTGACGGTTTGGGGTGAAGACATCACTGTTGGAGACACAGCCCTATCTATGATGCCTCTTTCCTTGGTGATCCTGAAGTGCATGTCACGGGGAATTAGGTGGAAACACTGAAATCTCTCTTCCTGTTTGTTGAAATAAAAATGCTGTAGGAGGAATGCTGGGCTTTTAAATGTTTGAGGGTTGGGGTAGGCAAGCAAGTTGTGGGAATGGGAAGGATGAGAAAAATGTCTGCCTCTTGGTTAACAAATTAATCCCTGTGCCAGAGGGTGACTCCAAGCAAGAAAGTGACCACCAGAAACATGTTGTTTATGAATTTTATTGCTCTTTATCCATCGCCTTCATTTCGGAATGTCTCTCTCCCCCTCCCAATAAGGGAGCCAACCTTTGTGACCGGAGCAGTTCAGCAAAATTGACATCAGCAATACACTGTAAGAAATACTCCACACCCAGTACCCCACTTTCCCAAAATCTCCTTTTACTTCATTCAAAACGACATACATAAGACAGTGGAAAGTGGCCACCTGAATCTTCCCTCTTAAAATAATCTTCCAATGCTGAGGACAGGCTAGCCAATCAATCCTCTAAGTCCATCAGGGCATTGCCCCTTTGGGGGGCCCAGGGATGTTTAATTACATAACGGTGGAGAAACAGCTCTTTTAGGATTAAAAAGTTTTGTTTTCAGTTCTTGGTCACGGGATGGAGAGGCATCCCATTTCCACCCACTGTTTGTGCTCTCTGCACTAACAGTTGACTTTTGTAAAGAGCAATTATTCCATGGTAGGAACTGGGGAAGAATACTGTTCAGATTTTGTGTTGAAGATCATGAGAAAAGTGGGCCATCCTGGGAGATGGAGAGCCTTAATGTCGTTTACTGTGGTGATGATCCTTCAAGCACAGAACTCAGAAAAATGTAACTAATGGTTATGTCCTCGTGGTATCACACCAAGTTGGACTTAACACATAACGCAGCTGAATAATGACCCTAAGCAGCATTAGAGTTAGGAGTCCTAGGGTCCTGCGACCTGGAACTGGGAAGGGGGTTACTGATCACCTGATCCCACAGAGAGGTGAAGTCACTTGTCCAAAGGTGGTCCAACCAGGTCCAAATCCAGGGCTCCTCCCACTTAATACATCAGGCTGTCTCAAGTACGAAGACAAGGGTTTGAACCCAGATTCTGATTTTTACTGGCATAGCTCACAAGCACCTTGGGAAATCGGTTCATTTGCAAAATGACGGGGCTGGAGTAAATAATGGCTAACAAACGTTCCTGCCAGATCCCAAGCGTGTATGATCCTGCGAGCTGTGTCAAAGGGACACCCCACCCTACAGCCCACCTACCCCAGGTCCTGGACAGCAGGACCCGAGTACCCGCCACACACGTCCTCAGAAAGGCTGATCGTTTCTTTCTCCTTTGCAGAATGTCAATGGCATCAAGTACCATGCCAAGAACGGCCACCGAACACAGATCCGTGTCCGTAAGCCATTCAAATGCCGTTGCGGGAAGAGCTACAAGACCGCTCAGGGCCTGCGGCACCACACCATCAATTTCCACCCCCCCGTGTCTGCGGAGATTATCAGGAAGATGCAGCAATAACCCGCTGGTCCCAGCTGTGCCAAGAAATCCTCACCAGCAGTTGCTGATTTTTGAAAACAGCCACCTTTGTCAAGGGAAGCGTTCAGCAACCCTTTAAAAGAAGAGTTAAATGCATGCTTTAAATTTTTTTCTGTAATTTTGGAATGTTACCTTTGTAGAGTTAATGATTTTGTACATTTGCACATGTAATCAACCATACCCACCATTTTCATTACTTTGATATAAGGTGCTAAAACAGACAAAAGCTCTAGGCTCTTCAGAATATCTTCCCCAAAACAAAATAAAAATGAGGGCATGTGGCAAATAGGTTTAATGGTACTGCAGGGTTACCAGCTTGGGGGGAAGCCTGGCACTGAGCTTATTTCAAGATTGTAATGTGATTGAAATTTCTCAATACGTCAACTCACACGTGTGCAAAACCAAGACACCACCACTGTTGTCAAGCCGGTTAACATGCCTTACCTAGGGGAGCTCGGACCCATGGCTAGCCAGGCATTAGGTATCGGAAATATAAATAAGAAAGAATGTTTAACATAATATGCTAAAAATATTTTCATACTTAAATAACATACATAAAGAGGTGTGCTTTCTGTGTTTTATATTTTCTTGCAAATCTTTTTTTCCCCTTTGAAATGCTGAAGATCTTGCCATGTGACTGAGCAAACAATCATTTTAATGTTAGAAATGACTTTTTATGAGGTGTATTCCATTCCTTCATCCATCCACCCATCCATCGAGTGCCTACCAAGTGCAAGGCATGGTGCTGGATGCTCAATTCATGCCCATCAGATATTTGAGGACCAAGATCCACTGAAGTATTTCCCCTAAAATCTGTTTGGAAACACTTTGAAATACTTAAGAGTGCAAATTGTGTGTGTGAAACTTAGCTCTCTCTTCATCCTCAGATGAAGTCTTAAAGCACTTTGTAGTTCTCCATTGCCAACAGATTTGATGTTTTATGTGTTGCCAATTCTTGCAACTCCTGCCCTATCGTGCCTGTGGCAGCAAATCAAGATGAAAGCTCTAAGCATGTTTCAGGGGGAGACCCTCCAGGCTGGTATTTGTGAGACTTTGGGGAGGGAAACGTTTCGCCTCACGCTCTAGGTGTCTGCATTCCAATCGGAACTCTGTTTAGCTTTAGAATTCACTTTTCCGAAATAAGACATTGAGCCTTACTGACATGAAGTGCTTCTGGCAACAGGTGGTCAAAGCGAAGGGCGAGCGAGGTGGCCCATGTAGCATTCACTTTTATCGGGACCATTCCTGAGCTTTTCCTCAGGAACAGGACCATCATGCCTCGAGGGTTCTTTTCTCCCAAGTGCTATTCTTGAAACATGAGTTTACCAGTTGCCTAATTATGCAATAAAAATTGCTCTGAGACGGCCAACTTCCCACAAAACAAATTGGTAAAAAGCGAGTTGGGGCTGCTTATGACAGTGCTCTCCCCCTGTGGCCTGTGCACGTGCGATGAAAGGTCTTCGACACAGCTGGGAAGCAGGTGGCCCTTTTTTTTTCCAGGACACTTACCAAACTTGGAAAGGATGACAATTATCTGTTAGCCAGATGTGCAAACATCTACTTTCATCAGCCTTGGATCCTTCCTAATGAGGGGTTTTTAAGTGCTTATAAAGAAAACGCCCTCTCACACTTCCCTCAGATCTCTGAAGGCACGATCGTGGTTCTGAACACACAGTGCTACCATTTAGGTTTCAAAGACGCCCCAGACTGAAGAAGCGCCGAGTTGGTGCCTGGCAGGGCCCCCTTGGGCTCTGGGCAGTCAACCACGCCACGCTCCTTCCTGGGCCAGGGTCTGCAGGCTGCATCAGTTAACTCAGCAGCTAAACAGTCATACAATAAAATCATCATGCATGGGACTTCCTTTCAGTTACGAAATCAATTCCAGCTTCTAATTACCTATTCCTTGTGACAGTATTACTAAACAGGTAAGGACGGGACTATTTTGTTATACCGCGTATAGTGAATGTATTGTACTGTGTCTGTGAAAACTGTGCTTTAAATTATATTTTCATATGTTTTGTTGGGGGGAAAGAACATTTAAGTTTGAAAGTGACAGAGGTTTGTTTGGACTGAAGGTGATGTATTGATATAGAATTCCTGTTGAGAAAGCTGCTTACAAATGTAAATCAGATCACATTTAAAATAAACTGCCTCTGACCCAAAGCAAGAATGACCCTTCCTTGACTCTTGTCTCACCTGGACTGACGTCTGATTGCCCAGCACTGCTCGGAGTCACATCCTATTTGATTCCTTTCAATTACTTCACTTGAAAACAAAACTACATTGTGGCCCCCTCTACCTAAAATGTTGGATCAAACCCTCTGGATCAAAGTAAGGTCAAAAAATTCAGGAGGGACAACAAGACCAGATGTCCTGTTTTGACACAGACTGCGTGTGGCATGGTGAAAACTGTGTGACCCTTGATTTGAAAAAAATTACATTTTTTAAGGAATAGGCCCCGATAATGGGTGCATACACAATCCCTAATGGGCATACATTATACACACACAATGATACTGGTGACAGGAGGGGAGAACCAAAGCCCCACCCCCACCCGGTCTTCTAGCCACCCCCCGACAAGGCTCCAAAGAGGGGCGCTCGCTGCCCTGAGCCAGCTTGTCCAGGACTTGTGCACAGAGTCAGGAAGTCCTTCTTGGGTGGGTCTTGGGAAGATTTCCTCTAACTCTGGGCCTAATGGCACCTCTGGGCCTGTTATTCATCTCCCAAATGAAACAGCTGAACTCGAGGTGATGTCTAAAATTCCTTCCAACTCAATTTAGGATTCTATTTTTAGTACCAGTCTGTGGTTTCATCTATGTAGGGAAGTAGGAATGAGGAAACTCTCCCCCCTCATCTGCAGCCTGAGGTATCTAGGGGTGGGAGACAGGACCCTCTATATGGTTCAGAACTTAGGAGGACCTCACAGACCCCAGACCCCTAAGTTCTCAGAAGTGCAAACTTATCCAAACAATAATCCAAGTGCGAAAACGTACACAGGCCATAATGTAAAACGACTTGGAAAGCATCCTATAACCGAGCTGAGCCTGACCCAATCATTTAAATGATGACTAAATTCAGGGCAAGTTTAAACAATCTGCTTAAGTGCTAATAAATAATGAAATCGTGAAACCCGTGAAACAACACCGTTGGAATTTCCAGGCTTTCAGCGTAACAGCAGAGGTGGTGCTAATTTACTAATTTAGAGAAGGACTGAGCCAAAACAGAAGAGGAAGAGTCCCAGTGGCGGCGGAGACTAGGTAGACCTTTCTCCTGAATGTTTCCAAACACATAAAAGAAAGCACACAACACTACAAAAGAAACTGATTATAGTGAAAAAAAAATTTATCAAAATATAAAAAAAACCAAAAACAAACCAAACTCACTGATCTCCTACAATCACAGGGATCCATGAACCCCAGGTGAAGAGCCCCTAACTATACTATTACAAATTAACTGGGTAACAATGAAATACAACAGCCACAGAGCTCCAATATGGGTGTACCTTTAATATAATGAATACTATACAGTAAGAAACAAATTTTAACTAAAGAAACACATGACCTTCATTTTGGTGTGTCTGTCACATTTTTAATTGCTTAATTAGAAACATAATTTTTAAAATTATGCTCAACAGAAAAACTCTGCAAAATGCACAAAACCACCCCCTGCAAGTACAGGCCAAGAACCCCAAGGCCTGCAGCAGAGAGTCTGGTGTGGAGGTTTCTCCACTTGCATCATGGGGTTTTGCCAAGACCACTTTTCCATTAGCTATAAATACAACTGTAAGCTGATTTTAAAATAATCATCCAGATAAATCTAATTATAATATTTTTAATTCATAAAAATACTGGATTAAAGCAAAATATGCTTTCTTAGATTAATTCCTAAGGCAAACATTTCACATGTACCAGAGGTATTTGCTATGTTGCGAGCAGGTAATCTCATCATGCATGCATCTAAACTTCTAAAGAAGATTAAAAAACTCTGTGTTCATAGAATAAATTAAAACATTTTTTGAAGGTTACCCAAAGAATTACTCCACGAGATTGCTATCAGAAATACTTTTTATTACATAATATTTAATCATGCTCAATCAGCTATTCGACAGAAACTTGTTATCAGTTGGCTAAGTCACCTACCACCATATAATTTTTTCCACTGTCACATTAAAATAATCCCTGTATCCTTTAATGATATAATGTTCACAATCGAGGAATAAATAAAGATACACACACACAAAGAGTTTCTTTCTTTTCTTAGAGCAGGTGAAAGAAACAGAGGTTAAACTGCTATCTGCTGATAAGCCAGATATTGATCCTGACCCTAGTTCTACTGCATTGTACACAGGTAACACAGAATGTAAGTAGTCAGAAAAATGCAGTAGATATTTTATCAGATATGGTTTAGCTATTGGAAGTGATCTTTTTTTAAATGGTAAACTGGTATAATGCATAATAAAAAGTGACATTCTAGTCAAAATTTAAAACATTCTGATCAAAATGGGTCTGAACGTGGCTTTCAAAGCCGTGCTGGTCATAGTCTGGAGGGAACTGCTCACTGCACATGGGGCACACCTTCCAGTGACTTTCGACATGCTCTTCAAACTTGCTCTGGTCGTAGTTGGGAGGGAACATTAATTCACAGAGGGGACACTTCTTGTGCACATCAAAGCTTGAAGAGATAGGGACACGAAATCATTACCTGTTTCTGATACATAAATGCATGCATGCTAACATGCTAAGCACTGCTTCTCAGAAAACTGTAGGTCACTCCAGAATAGACACCTGGGGCTCCCACTGCCAAGCCCCTCCCTCATGTCAGTGACCTCGCTGTTCCTCTCCAAAGACCCAGACGTCTCCTGCAGGTCAAGAGAACCCCATTCCCAGCTCACCGAGACAAAGAATCAGCAAGGAGAACCATTCACCGAAAGCTCAACCCTTGGTCTTACGCATTTTACTTACTGAGCTCCCAAAATGGTTCCTTATAATAAGTAAAATGAAGCACATAATTCCAATCGTTTCTTTGTAATCATCCATAAGGATGAAAGCAACCTGAAATTCCCCATATCATCTACCCTACTGAATAACTAAGAATTTCTGAAACTATATACAAAGCATGAATTCTACATGGAAAAGGTTAAGATTACCTGGAATCAAAGCAAAAGCCCGTCCCATGAGCATGTAAAAGCTGGCTTGGAGGTTCTGGAGCAGTAAGGACATTCTCATCATCATCCTGCATAAAACATAATTCAACAGGATTTATTTACACGTGTAACTCAACGATGCCAGAATCCGAAGGAAATCAGACTATATTTGAAGGACAACTAAGTATTTTTATTATCTTTCGGTAAGGGTTTCATGTGAACATGAACTTGAAGGTCAATTTCTGTAAGAATTACTTTAAACTTTAGTAACTATTTAGATATAAAAGCTAACATCATCAACAAATTAGAGATACAAAGGAAGAAATTTATCTGTTAGATCTATGTATATGGGAAGAGCTCGAGATCAAACAAAAGACAGAGGAACACAGAAGGTTAAAACGGACAGTTTTGATTATATAAAATTAAAAGATTTTGCACAAACAAAACCAATGCAGCAAAAATTAGAAGAGAATCAAGTAATTTGGTAAAATAAATCTTTGCAGCAGGTTTCTCTGATAAAGATCTCTCTTCTAAGATGTTAGGAATGGATTCAAATTTATAGAAATAAGAGCCATTCCCCAATTTATAAATAGTCAAATGATAAGAATTTCATTTCATTTTCAGGAGAAGTAATCACCAAGTAAATAGCTATATGAAAAATGCTCTAAATCACTAATAATTGAAAGAAATGAACATTACAACAATTCTGAGGATCCGTCTTACACCCATCAGATTGGCAAAGTTGACCCAAAAAAGGAAAATGACAAATGCTGGAGGAACTGTGTGAAAACCGGTACAGTGACGCACTGCTGGCAGAGCCATAAACTGGCTCAGAAATTCTGGGAAGCAACTAAGACTCAGAAGTTATTAAATTATGCATACCCTTTGATCTAGAGATATCCATCCATACTGGTCCGTATCCCCAAAGAGAAAGAAGAAAAGGACTCATGTGCAAAACCACAGCAGCTCTTTCTGTGGTGGCAAAGAATTGGAAATTGATTGGGCGTCCCACCAAATGGAGAATGGCTGAACAAATTATAGTATATGAATGTGATGGAATGTTATTAAGAAATGATGGAGATGGGGTTTTCAGAGAAACCTGGGAAGACTTGTATGAACTGATGCAAGTGAAATGAGCAGAACCAGGAGAATAATTTATAAGACTATAACAACACTGTAAAGACTAACTACTTTGAAATACTTGTCTGACACAACATTTAGAGGACTCGTGCTGAAATATCCTACCCAGTTCCTGACAGAGAGATGATGGACTCAGTGCAAAGTGAGATAGATATATAAATAACTGGGGTAGGGGTCGGGACATGAGAGGAAGAGAAAGCAGATTTTTTTTCAGTTGTAAAAATAACTTAAAAAAAAAAAAGAATGGTCTAAGTGCTGACAACTGTTTAATGTAAGGCTGGAAAACAACATTGCCATTGGTAAAAACTGACTTTTGAAATTTATTTACAACTATCTTAGCTATTTTTGCTCATCTAAGGATCTGTGGAGAAAATTATCAACTTAAACCAAATCTCTGGCATCAATATGCTCTAATATTCACATTAAACAACCACCTTAACCCAAACATGTGGAAGAAAAATCAATGTACCTCTTTGCCTATTGCCAAGTAGTAAATGCATTAATTTCCAGGAAACTCTCATAATTATAATCAAGGAAAAAGAACTTATTAAAATGAGGAAGAGATGGATGGGGGCAGGGGTGAGGTTAAATCCAGGCAGTGTACCAGCATGAACACCTTTTTACAACAAAAATCCAATCTTGATAATAGGTTGTCAGATAAGACTCCTAAAAATCTATGAGCCTAAGTTAGCAGAAAAAAAGCTTCAGATTCACACACCTCCACCCCGTGTCCTCCCAAACCTCCCCCCGAGTCAGTTCTGAGCCATCTGAATATGCCGTCAAGGGCAGCAGATCATGCATTTCAATCCTCTCTTAGGCACAGCATCTAAATCACCCTCCAGTATTTCCTCTCATTTCATGAAGGTTAAAAACACATAAACAGGGGGCAGCTAGGTGGCGCAGTAGATAGAGCACCAGCCCTGGAGTCAGGAGGACCTGAGTTCAAATCCGCCCTCAGACACATAACACTTACTAGCTGTGTGACCCTGGGCAAGTCACTTAACCTCACTGCCTAGCAAAAACAAAACAAATAAACAAACAAACAAACAAACAAAAAAAAAACCCCACTAAAAAATACATAAATAGGCAGCTAGGGGGTGCTAAACACAGGAAGACCTGAGTTCAAATCCAGCCTCAGATACTTTCTAGCTGTGTGACCCTGGGCAAGTCACTTCACCTCTGTCTGCCTTAACTGTAAAATGGGGATAAAAGAACCACCACCACCCCCTTTCAAGGTCATGAGAATCAAATGGAATATTTATAAAGTGCTTAGCATAGTAGATGGCACAAGGTAGGTACTTAATAAATGCTAGCTGTTGCTGTTATTAGCTAGAGCAGGAACTGATGAGGCTCACGACATATTGATGGCCAATCATGTCTGCTTCAGACCACCTAACGAGTTAAGGTCTGTTCTTACTCAAAAAAATTTGTGTGCATGAAATCCAGCGGCTAAACATATGCAGAAAACTCTCTTCCTTGCAACCAATTTTTGTTTAAACTGTTCTTTTATGACAGGTAAAAAAAGATAGGACAGCAGGTTTGGTTTTAATTTTATCAATCAAGTAGCATTTACAAGGACCCCCTACATGCCAAGTGCTGGAGAGACAGTCACTGTGTGCAAGGAGCTCCGTCTGATGGGGGAAAACAACATGCAGACAGCCATACCAATGGGACAGACAGAATAAGCTACAGATAATGAAGGGAGGGGAGGCACTAACATTGAGGAGAATCGGCTATTCTTCTTGCATCAGGTGGGATTTTGGCTGAGAATTGAAGGAAGTCAAGGAAGCTGAGGACAGAGATAAGGAAGGAAAGAATTCCAGGCATGAAGGACAGAAAGAAAATGGCCTGGGTCAGGAGATGCAGTATCTTATGTGAGGAACAACAAGGAGGCCCATGTCGATGGCCTCGAGGTGGAGAGGGGAAAGAGAATGAGGGGGAAGAAAACTGGAAAAAGCAGGAGGGGGGCTGGTGTTGAGGCTGGTGGTGAAGGCCAAACAGAGCACTTTGTATTTGCTGCTGGAGGCAACAGGAAGCCACTGGAGTTTATTGAGTGGGGGATGTGACATGGTCAGACCTGGGCTTTAGGAGAACCAGACTGAAGCTGGCTGAATGGAGGATGAACCAGAGTGGGGAGAGACTTGGGACAGGCATTCTGCACCCACCCCCCCCGCAGCTACTGCAGTGGTCCAGGCCTGAGGTGGGAAAGGCTTTCACCAAAGTAGGGCCAGCATCAGAAGAGAGAAGGGGAGTACTGGAGAGAGGTTACGAAGATGATATCAAGAGACCTTTGGAGACGAAGGAGGAGAGTAAGGAGTCCAGAATGACTCCCAGCGGCCTGAAAGACTGGGCAGATAGTGATGCCTCAACAATAATGGGGGTTATGAAGGAAAGATAATGCGTCCATTTTAGGACATGTTGAGTTTAAGTTGTCAACAAAAAACCCAGTTCAAGATGTCTCATGATATGACATGAGTTTTCTTGGGACACGTGCTCCCTCAAGCCTAGAGATGTGCAAAATATCAAAGCTGAAGAGTGAAACACAAAAACTCTTACTTCTCTCTCTCCATCTCTCTCACATACACAAAATATATTGTGTATTTAAAGAACAGATACTCAAGTAAAAGATATTCAGGTTGCCCATATATTTCATGAAAAACATGAAGAAAGATACTTCATTTAAATACAATTTGAATCTAGGACAAACTATTTTGTTATTATGACAAAGTTTTCCCGTGTTTATCTAGTTTCAAAATCTGGGATTTATAGGAAACTATATTTGGGACACAAAATAGCATACAATCAGGCAAATAAGAGCATATATGATCATACAAATATTGTCACTAAATGTCTTTAAAATCGTTGCAAAGAAGGCACTTCTGTGGCTTTCGGGCGAATCGATCACAGAAAGGGTGTTGGTCTTTACTTCCTGGGTTAATAGACTTTGAATCATTAAAAAAAAATGGATTTGGGGCAGCTCGGTGGCACAGTGGATACAGCACCAGCCCTGAAGTCAGGAGGACCTGAGTTCAAATCCGGCCTCAGACCAAACACTTGACACTTACTAGCTGTGAGACCCTGGACAAGTCACTTAACCCCAATTGCCTTTAAAAAAAAAAAAAATGGATTTGCCAGTACAGAGAATTTAAACAATTCCCTAAGCATTTCTCCGTCCTTCTAAAGGCCGGTGACTAGTCACCACCCAGTTCAGACTTTCATAAGGATGCTGGCCAGTGGTGCTTGTTGCAACAGATGGCTGACTGAGTATCCTCCCCACCAACCCTTCTCCCAATGCAAAGACTCCAGTTTCCCTCCCACAGGAAACGAGATGGAGTATAGGTGTCAGGATCCATGTAGGAAGGAGAAATAGCCTTACCACATACCTCGCTACGATGCCCTCCGTGCCCCCAGGCCCTATGGATCTTGGCACACTGCATACAGTGGCATCCCAAGGATCACCAGGCCCTTTGATCAATTTTGCAGCTAAAGCCCTGTTATGTGTTGTATCCCCAGTTTAGAACATAAGTTCATTAAGAGCACATCCTGTCTTAATTTTTTATTTCCATCTGAAGTATTTCGCACACAGTAAACATTTAACAAATTCTTTTCATTCATTCATTCATTCATTCATCAGTTTGTGCATCTGGGACAGGCTATACAAACAGACAATAAGCCAGGTCCAGAACTGAACATTAGGAGGGGAAGAAGCTAAACTGCCTTCAGGAAATAATATCAATATTCTAACAACGTCATTGTATGGCCATGAGATACTGAAAAGTGTTTCTGAAGGAGTGGAAATTATTATCACCAAGAAGGCCCTAGACATACAGCAACGTGAACGAGCCGTAACTTATGATCAACAAAGAACTGCAGAGAAAATCATGAGAAAGAGATCGTCAGGTTAATGTACAACAGGAAAAAAAAACAGGCTCACGATGGCCCAGGACAA